TCCGAAGTACCAGACGTCTAACATCCGAGACGCGCGGCGGTGGGGTACAAAGAGCCAGCCTGAATCCGAAAGCTCGGCGCAGCAGAGGAACGTGATGGCATCTCCCCTCACGCGTCTTTTACAATTCAAGCACAAAAAACGTGCAAAATACAATTCGGATTCGATAAATCCAGGACAAAAAATGAAGGTTACCAAGCGAGTAAGCATGTGCTCAGGTGTATGGTGAATACCTGGCGTTTCCGTGAGGAACAGCAGCGGCACGATCCAATTATAGACGCAAGGAAGAAAGACTGCTCTTAGGGGGAAAATATGAAATGTATTAATCCATTAAGCAGCTGCATCATTGCAATTACACTTTGAAGTTAAAGACTGTGAAACACACCAAAGATTAAGTAAGAGAGGTGATAAAATTGAACACCAAAAGAGAAAAAAAATCAAAGTGGCCTACAGATCCCTCTTCCTAGCAAAAAATAACCAAAACAAAGAGGTAAAAATATTACATACGAGGCTCTGCACACACATACAATTATAAAACCAATTTATGACCATATCAAGGCAAATTTACGTGGAGAAAAATCATGATGCCTCTGTTCCCAACTTCAGCATTCGTGTAGCAGACAAACCATAAAGTACTTGCAGAAGTGCAAACGTAAGATGCTAGCAGGTGAGAAAGAATATGAACGAGACCTCTGAATAAAGAGCTTACACTGGATTTCTTTGTAATGTTTCATAGGTGTTATCTGTTCATTTTCATCTCCCTCAGCTAACCCCTTTTTAAGTACTTTCTCCTTGTCTCTTCCAAATCCACAGTAATGACGAGCAGGGTTTTGATCATCTATAGCTTTATAACCAAGAGGAAAAGAAAGATGCCTCATCTGAGCTCTCATCTGTAATGTTACTGGGGTGCTGTCTTGAACTGCAAAGTACTCATGTCCATCTTAAACCTCAGTTAGTCTCAACTCCCTGCTGACAACCCAAGATTCACACTCGCGCTGAAGAGTCTAGACTACTCTTCCATCAGCTATAATTATAATTATAATTGAAATAAGTGTGCATGTGTGTGTGTGAGAGAGAAAGAAAGAGAAGTTGAAGAATTTATCAATGAGCCATATTGGGAAGTTTAAGATTTACTTTACGAAAATAAGTTACCCATTTCTAAGCCTACGTTCTTCCGAAGATTCAGACGGTAGTAAGAAATTCCTGGGAGAAGGGCTGCCTCAGTTTATATTCTGAAGACGATGGGGTAGGCTACAGAGAAGGATCACAAGAAAAAATAGATTAAAAAGATGTGCAAATATCACCTCTTACAGGCGAACAGCTAAGATGCTAGCCAGGAGGCTTCACTGTCCAGATGTTACGCGTTCTACCCGAAGAATCTCTGGCAATTCAATAGGTGCAAACCTCTTGAAGGCACGTACTTACTGTGGGTGGGCAGCGAAGACAGGTAACAAAACTTGCTTGGACTGTTTCAATTGCTAACCAGAAGTGTTATCTCCTACCTTGGTTTCTGTGTGGAAAACCGGGATGCCAACTCGGTCGGTAAATCACCGATGACACAAAAGGAATTCAACAAGAACCATGTTATACTTTTAAGCCATAAATAAAAAAAATCTTTACAGTTTTGCTGCTGAAAAGCCTACACTTCAGTTCCATGTGAATAGTCAGGTTTTCTTAGTACCCAGGTCTAAACTGGAACTAGTTTGTTTTTTTTTTTTTGTTCAGTGTTAACACAGATCTCAATTTTCTCATTCCTACTCACTCTTCTCTAATCCCACATTAAAAATGTGTGTTTTTTTCTATAAATCACTATTGCCCAGTTATAAGTGTCAATGCAAGAACTGTCCCTAGAGACTTTTGAAGCCAAAGTGAACTCTGACAGCTCACCTGAAAATGAAGTTACACATACAGAGACAACTCAAAATCGTCAGCACGTTTCTAACGTATCCGATGCAATACTTCAGCATCTGTTTCAAGCTGGCTTGTCTGCCAACAGTGGTCATCTTGGCATCAAGGGGAAAAAGACAAGTCAAAGTGGTAAATGTAAGATTTCACTGAACACTTACGATTATCGTATTTATTTCACTGTTGCATTCTTCAGTTGCTGAAAGGTTGTCATGAAGCACTATCTCACCATATGGCAACAACCTCAAGTCCTAGAGGCACATACTTAAAAGACCATAACATGTCAGGCCCTTTGAATAAATTAGATAGAACAATTATGCAAAATAATAATACTGCAATGATGAGATAGATTAACAAATGAGAGTGTCAGTGTTCATGAAACGCCGTGAAAATAAATTCCACACATCACTGTGGTCATCATCATCATCAAACTGCGAAGCAACAAAAGTAAAACATCACCACAGTATTTGCTGTGCCCTTCAGCAACTGAAATGTTCAGAAAGGAGAAGGGGGTTGCAAGGGAGGAAAGTCATCTTTACTAATGTTCAGTGAAACTGTAATAAAATATTACAGAAACAGAAAGACGAGTAGTAGTAGCTCTAAAAGCAGCAGAACGCTTGCCCACCTACTCCTTATACAGACCAGCAATGCTGAGAGCTCACATACACCACACCTCACCTGTAAATATGAAGCATCATCTTAAAAAACATACCTCATACAATCTCAGACAGACTAAGCTATACGTTTTCATGATTTTTCAGTTTTTTTCACAGATTTAGTTGTCCTTGATGATCAAAAGGCATTAGACAGAAAGGGGGAGAGGGGAGGAAATCAACACCATCTGCTTTTCCCAGCCATCTCTCTAAAGGCAAAGTCTCAATTCGTCCTTCTTTGCTTTTAACCCTCTACCCCCTTAAGTTTCTCCATGCAGGGGAGAGAAAACTGAAACTCTCAAGTTAGCGTACGACAATGACCAAATGCCTTTTAGACAATATAGAGTTAAATTTTACTAATCCACTTCTAAACATTTCATCTTTCTGTTAGCTGAACATTTTTTTTTTTTAAACATTTCAGCAGCAAGTAACACTTCTACACCAGAGAAAATAAAACTGGCACAGGAGGCTAGGGGATACTGCAGCAGTGGCGCGTAGCCACCTCGAGAAATCCCAACACTCGGAAACAGTGTCTGTCTGGGATTTGAAACAAAAAATGACACTCTGCAGCACCATCCCTACAAAACTTGTCTGAAACGACAGCAGTGTTGTTTTCAGCGACATTTTTAGCTTGGGTTCCGTTTCAGCGTTCTTTACCTGTACCGTAAGCTGTTTCCATGGATGAAGGCTCACACGTACACTCGACAAAACTTAAATCGTTCTCCTTTGCAGTAGCATATACAAACCCAAACAATCTGTAAATTGAATGTAAAACTTCCCCAAAACCTGACCAAATGCACTGCTGATTCCGACTCATGCTCCCTTTCAGGAATAGAAAATGGTTCATTCAAGGAGAATTTAGTAGAAGTGCAGGTATTTTTCTAAGTTGCATCCTCACCTGCTGCCAGCCACAAGCAGGGAAAAAAGCAAACTCACTCCCATACATACTACTAGCTAACAAATGTTTGAATAAATTGGGAATTAAAAGCACAAGTACTGACACCAAAACCCTCAAGCCCTGCAGTAGTCAAACATGAAAAACGTGGAGTATGAAGTTTCTAATGTACACTTGCACTAAAGCCCACTCTAGGATTCTTTTACAGATCTCCAGATGTCAGTGAGATCTTCACCATTAAGTACCTAAGGCCTGCTCTTAAACGGCAAAGAACAAGAGAAATGGTGGAAGCTGAGAATTAAGCCCCCTGAGAAGTGATGAGAACTTTTTCAAACCTATAATATTCTCATTTTTAACAATATAAAATATTCCTAAGAGTAACTGTGTGCCTGTAAACCCACTACAGAAATTATGTATATACAGAAACCCCTATTGGTGAACCCAAAACTGTCCAAGCTAAACTTACTTGTGCAATTTTCTTCTGTCCTTTTATGTGTTAGGTCATATTTTAGTTACCTCATCTCATTATCTACCTACTTTTTTCTTCAGGCCTTGGAACATTTAAAACACTCAAACACCTATCCAAGATATCTTTATATCTGACTTGCCGGGTGGGAGGCTCCTGAAGTAGTGCACGAGTTAAGACAAAAAGAACATGCAACTGAGAAGTTGTTTGCTGAATGCTGTTGTAGAAACCAACATAGAAGTTTATCAACTGAAATATCAAAGTATTTCTGTATTCCTTTCAGTGTTTTAAAAGAAATGTTAACTGAATTGTGCAGAAGGTAATTACCCAATTCAGATGTATCCTCAGGGCATTGTGTTAGCACTTTCAAATTTGTTAAAAATAAAAACAGAGGGACCACAGCCTGCAGTGAAAGGACCTGTCCAACCATCTGATTCAAGGATAGCGTCCTCGGTTTTAAAACAAACTTTAGAACAGTGAGAGTGAACTTGACGGATTAGCTCATTACTATCTTAAGCTGGGAGGGTTGGTTGGTTTCGGTTTGTTTATTTTTTTGTGTGTGGGGTTTGGTTGTTTGGATCTTGAAACTTGCATTTGCACTTGTGTGGAAATACCATATGAAGTGAGACATATGCAAAATCTTGGAAAACACTGACTTTGTAACCCGGTTTGAAAGAAAACGCTTTTAGAATTTAAACAAAAGTCCATATACCACAAAATGAAGTAGCAAGTGAACTAATCTTTTAAAATCTACCAAAGAAAAACTAAAAAGTTTCACAGCCAAATTAAGACTACAGTTTTAAAATAATTTATTCAGTCACATAAATACTTTGTAACATTTGCATGTTCCCTTTTTCACATCCTTGGCACATAATATAGCTCTCGACTTTTACAAAACTAGTGTAAACATCTATGGACAACAAAATGAAAAGAAAGCAGGACATACGTAAAAAATAAATAGCAAAAGGAGTGAATGATTGAAGGAAAAGAAGTAATTCTTTCCTACAAAGATGATGTAATTACATTTGGATGTTTAAATGAAAGAACTTCTCATTTTTTAAAAAAAACAGTGAATTAAAACTCAATTACCATCTTTCTATCATTGTTGTATTTTAATCAGATACATGATACAGCTCTTCAACTGGTTCGAATTCTTGAAGGAGCAACAGCAATTCAATGCAATTGTATTATTTGAGGCATCAACAGTTTTGGTTCACATACAGAAGGTTACAGACCAGTATTTGCAAGCTAGTGGTTTTGGACGGGGTAACTTCTAAACTCCCAAACACTCTTCCGACACGACATTAAGATTTTCCTTAATGAGCGTTGGTGTATAATCTGTTCTTGATAAAGATGACATTGGACAGATGTTGTCGGACACCTGGATAATGCTGAATGTGATTGAACCAACGAGACACGTTAAGGTATTTCTCCTTTTCTTGCACGGTGAGGTCCACCTGCACGGGGAAGAAACACGAGGCATCAACAACAAAGACACGGCAATCATTCGTGTCTTAACACGCGGTAAGGTAAAACCAAAGTGGATAGTTTTACAGCTGATTTTAACTCGCACAAAAGGTTCTCACAATCAGCAGTATTCTACCTTGATTTCACACATTAAAATTCACAGCCCAAGACAGGTATTTACTTTTCATTTACTCAGATGAGCAGACCTGGAGGGTGGAATATACATTTGTATGATAGAGAGGGGGAAAAAGGGCATTAGCTCGCTTGAATTTAATGCATCTACCTACTCATGGGGTTAGCATACAGTACTGGGGGGAGCAGGGAAGAGTTCCACAACATGCACAAGTCTTCCACATTCATCTAGCAGGTGGTCTTGCCTCAGAGGCAAAGTGACTACTTTGCATTTCAAAGCATATTATAAGTACAGGAATAAGGTTTTTTTTTCAGGCAATTTCAGACTGGATAGAAAACTTGAAAGTTGTTTTCCATTTTGAGTAATAGCCATACAATAGTCATCAAGAAACAGCACAGCTTAACACCTAACTGTTCAGATGTGCTAGCTCACATTAAGATAGCAGTGGCACAATTCCAATCACCACAATAAAACAAACTGAAAACATTCCTCCACTTTGAGGTCTCGTTCACCAGAGTTCTCAAGTCAACAGCACAGTCACTTGCTTGTTTTAAGCCAGATCTAAACAGTTGCAAGGTCAGGAAGAAGCCTCCTACTATCATATACCTATTGCCACAGCTCCTTGCCACAGGAATTGTCAGTAAGATTAATCAAAAGCTTAAAGCCTACCTTTATTTTGATCAGAGGACTGGGTCAGATAGAAGTCTACAATTACAGATCTTAACTATACCTTTCAAATTCTAAGTTCAAGTCAGCAACGTCCTCAAAGCTTCACTACAAAGTCTTATTGCTTCAGAGTCTTCCAAGCCAGCTGTAGAAAAACTATTCCCCTCCTGTATCACATTTGTTAACATTCCCTGATTAGCAATTTTAGGTCTCCTCATTCCTCTGTAATGAAGTCAGCTTATCAGGTTAGACAATAATCCATTTCCTCATGCTAACTTTTTTACAAGGGCACGTAGTGATAGGACAAGGAGAAATGGCTTTAAACTGAAAGACGATAGATTTAGATTGGATATAAGGAGGAATTTTTTTTTTTTACAATGAGGGTGGTGAGGCACTGGAACAGGTTGCCCAGAGAAGTTGTAGATGCCCCATCCCTGGAAGTGTTCAAGGCCAGGTTGGATGAGGCTTTGGGCAACCTGGTGTAGTGGAGGGTTTCCCTGCCCATGGCAGGGGGGTTGGAACTAGATGATCTTTGAGGTCCCTTCCAACCCAAACCGTTCTATGATTCTAACCTACTACAACTGAATTACACTCAAAACAGACTATAAAAACTGCATCAGGAACAAAATACGATCTTCACATCATCAACTTCTCTATCGTATCTCACCAACTCTTCAACCCATCAGCGTGGGATTCACCTCACTTCGTTTTCAGTTAGATAAGTTCGCCATCAAGCTTAACTAAGTCATTTTGACAACACCTGCAGTCAATGCCAAAGGGCACACCTCTAGAGGAGAGTTTTAACAGACAAATCACTAGCTAGACATGCCCAGTATTTTTCATGTGTAGACTTCTAAAACTAATCAAGTTTGATCCCCTCCTCAAAAGCTGAACAGATGGCATACTCCTTATGTTCTACAAACACTAGATCTCATAGGTAACACAGGTTCATTCAAAATTTCATCTCGGGCACAGGTCAGCTGGAAACAAGTATGTTCCCACAAAGTTTAAACCACAGGAAGAATTATACATACTCATGTACTCAGTTGTAGGAGTGAAAAGCTGGTGTTCAAAACTAAGCCTCATGTTCAATCTCACCTCGTGACACACCAACCCTTTCCATTTCAAGAGCTGCCAATTCCATTTCATTTGCTGCTTCTCCTTACTGTTCTCTCACACAGCCTAGCACTTGCCTTGGAACTGGAAAGCTTTAAACATGCAGAGGTAAAAGGAAAATAAGGATATATACAAGATAAACCACTGGAAAAATACTGAGGAAGAAGAATCTCAAGGAGTTGCAGAGCATAGTAACTGCAGCAACAACTGAAAATCAAGGATCTTGCAGCTGCTAAACCCAAATAGGTCTTCTTCCTACAGGACTCACCTGCCAGAACACAAGCATAGTCCTGCACACGTATTCCCACAACAAATTCTGCAATTTTGAACTGTTATGAGCCCCAGTTCAGGCAGTATGAGAAAGTCTGCTTTTCTTGCTGCTGGCATGGAAGTGGCAGCACTATTCCTACAGCTGTTTAGTCTGAGAGAAGTGCACAGACAAATCAAAACACAGCCACATATTATTTCTGCTAAGCTAGAAACACAAGAAAGTTAATCAGCATTAGCCAAGGGGGAGAGAACAACACCGCGAAGGGGAAAAACTCCGGAATTTTTAAAGGCATTACAAACAAAAAGTGGAAGTTATTAAAATGTATCACTGAGCACTGCACAAATTGCCTGAGCTTCTGCAAGTGAAGCATATCCAGGACAAAAAACTCCAGTACCATTTAGGGGAAGATGCTTTTGATCACCTGCAGTTTGCTATAATTAATGGTAGTTGGAAGCTGGTGCTTGATACGAAGCTGTAAAACAAAGCAACACAGAGCATGAAAAGAGAAATGTGTGCTCTAAGGCCATCTAAAATTACAGAAAGTGAAAAGTATTTAAGCATGAGCGGATCCTAAAAACACTGTCACTAAGTTCTGTGAGTGTTACACACTTCAAGTTATAATTACAATATCCTTTTTCAAAGTCTTTATGGGTAAGCACTTGGTTAAGAAAATACTCAACTAAACTTTGGATTTTGCAGCAGGTACAGTATTTCCTCCCCATAATTTTCTACTGATAATTCTCAATCTTCACATTTCTCTGATGTAAATCAGAAATAAAGTCTGGAAAACTAGTCCTCTTCCATTCTGTTAGCGTAGTGAAAAAACATCTGAAGGGCAAATCAGACAGCTACTCTCATAACAGAACCCCTTCCTGTACTCTAGGCACAACAAGCAAGATATTTTCACTTATTTACATAATGTACTTTATCACTGAAATACATTAAAAAGCACTTTGTGGCATGCTCTACTTTTTACTCAGAACATAACTCTTAGGTTAATTGTTTAGAGATCACTTCCATGGCATTTTTTACAACATTTTGTTAGATGAGTATTTTCTGTTCTTCCTCATTAAATTAGATAATTCCCCCAAGTTAAGAAAGGCTGCTGTTCTGCTGTTAAAATAATTATTTGCTATTAAAGCAATTATTTTAATAGCAAAGAAGCAGACACTCAATTTGACAGGTTTTTTTTTTTTCTAATGTCATGGAGGAAAAAAAAAAGTCTTATTCTTCCACCACAAAGCTCATAAAGGGTAAGCAAGGTGGTCATCATACAAGGCAACGAGGAGAGTTTCTAGAAGGGCTATAAATATAATAAATGCTTTAATTATATTTGCTTTCAGCAGCATAGGGGATGCAGGCATAGATTCCCATTCCCACACCCTGCATGTGCATGGAAAGTCTAAAAACATCTGCCTAGATTTTAAGTTCTTCAGCACCAAGAAAAGGATAAGATGCTATCCCAT